TTTGATTATGTTGCTCACTACTTGGGTGCTTATTATACTCATGTAACCAATTAGTGGGTAGAAAAATCCCAGTATTTAGATTTGTAAGTATGTAATGTTCCACTGGACCTTAAGGTTTAATTTATCTATATGAATCAACTTTTCTAAACTCACATTGCTTCAGAGGCATCAAGATACACAGAAGTACTTAGAATTTTTCATTGCACTATGTCTAAATCTCTTGACACCCTATTTAGAGAGAAGAAATGGCACAGCAGGATTTGGCTATTTCTAGGATTTTTATCTCACCTTTCTCTTCAAGTGCCTTGGGTAAATAGTCTATGGATTGGAAGATTCTGGAGAACACTACTATTTGCTGGTAGAATGATTTGGTTCTGTCAAAAGCACTATAGAGAGCACCTCAAGTTTATGAATGAAAAGTTCTTCCAAAGATCTAACACCCAATTTTCCACAGACTCTAGACTAATTTACAGAGTGTAACAATAGTGCCTCAATTTTTACTGGAAGAATTAACTGTCTGTGGCCCATTACCACCTTTGCAGAGCTAAGAAGTTGAAGACTGTAGTAGACATATAAACACTACAAGTATGTGTTGCATTTTCCACTATGACAAGAGACTAAACCATCAAAGTATATTTTTTCGCCATAAAGGGAGAGTTCACTCGCTTATCCCTCAGAATCTCTCATAAATTCAACTTCTAGCAGGGGCAAATGGACCAGGACTTCCTGGAATACTGGGTAACAGAGAAGGTTTGGCCGGTGCTCAACCTTCTAGGGTTTGCAGCTCTCACTAGACACTTACATTCCAATACTTCCAGATCTTCCATAAATTATGGAGGCTGCAGACTAGGAGGCTTGACCTGGCTCTTTCTGAAGAGATGTCAGCCATTCTCAAATTGCAAGAGAGGGGCTTTTATTTCAACTGAAATACTTGGCCAGAAGGCCCTGACATATTGCCTTATCTCACAAACCAAAATTGGAATAACTACTGTGCTTAAAATCAATTTCTCTTGGTGAACAGATATACTTCCCTTATGATTTTCTACTTTGGTCTAGTAAGAGGCTTTCTGTATAAATATAGAATGCCACCAATCTCTAGGCTGCCCTGGAAATCGGCTAATCACACAGTCCATTTCCAGCCAAAGGAGGTGTGTCACCTTAGGTTCTACTGAAAGAGTATGTTAGTCCATCAGCCGGGGAGAGGCCTGGCAGGACAGTCAAAGATAAATGCTCTGAGCAACAATAATCACAGTCCTCTTAAAGTCAACTTGATCATTGTTCTCAGAATCATTTTGAGCCGCTCAAAGGCACAAAGACTTCAGTGGAAATTCCAGACTTCAACTCAATACACAGCTGAGATGAATTCAGTCCAAAAATTTCAGTATCCTGTCACATATTGATTATTATGATCCTCTAGAAATGTCATGTTAATTGACTTTGTGATGATCGTGACTGATGGACAGGGGCAACTGATAAACTCTTAAAGTTATCAATTAAAAGCAATCATTTTGTTTATGGAGACATATAAACAGACATGTGAAAGGCAAGAACAGAAAAAACCTGGCTGTGCAGAGAGGCTCTACCTGAATTAAAATTAACAGGTGGTCTGAAAAGTGGTAAATATAGCACTGAATTTGAAGCAATTTTAGATGCTTATAGACTCCATGCTCACAGTTCTGAAACCTCCCAGGTCTGCCAAGAGCCGCCAGGACTCTAGCTCTGTGAAGTGGTGTACCCCTACCCCATGGCTGCAGATTGACGGGTGCCAGTAACACAGAGTTCCTACCCACTCGTGCGAGTCTCCTGAGCTTTGCCAAGAGGTTCATTACTTTCCCTTTTACTGCCAATTGAACTGTATGCTTCTAATGTGATTCTCCCAATAAACTTATTTGTGTTTATATGCATTTGGCATGCATTCTAAGTAAAACCTTCCTGCTTATGAAAGTTAGCACTCTAGTGATCCAAACATGATAAAACCTATGGAATCTGACTTTCATGAGCACTGGCTATTCCACCAACAGAAATTAGCTGCAAGTGATCTAACTGACATGCTAGATAGGTTAGAGTAATGTTGTTTTGTGGATAAAGTCTTTCAAAAATAACTGTAGTCATCTTATAATTATTCTTTAAGCAGTAACCAAAAAATGGGATCAATTACATCTTTAGACATCTCCTGAGTTGTAAATATAAAATCATACTGCCAAGAAAAAGAGGAAGAGTTTTTTGTGGAGTAAATTCAGCTGGAAGAAAACAGAGAAACCTAGCCTTCATTGTCTATACCACTTAGAATTTAAGCATGTTGAGGGACTATTCCTGTTCTTAGAGTGGTATTAAAATGCAGGCTTTGTTGGGCCTCCCTGGTGCACAGCAGTTGAGCGCTGGGTTGCGAAGCTGCCCGCAGCCTCTGCAATGCCGGTTCGATCCCCAGCCCCGGCGAGGTCCCACATGGCGCGCAGACCTTTCCTGCTGCCCGCTGCTCCCCTTAGCAGTGTACTTCGTCAGTCTACCTGCTCTGCTCTCCGCTCTGGCTCTGGTGAATTCTCTCACCCTCCCGCGCTTCTGACTGTACCCAGGCTTGTAAATTAAAAAAAAAAAATGCAGGCTTTGTCAAAACATGACAGCTTAGAATCTCTGTTGTACTCACACGGTGTGGCCCAAATTTGGTATTTACACACATTTCTAGTCTGTATATATTCTACCTCAGTGAACAGCATTGTGAATACCAGAACCTAGAGTTGTCCCTGACTTTTTTCCTTTGTCTTATCCCTATATGTAATCTCCAAATCCTAATAATCTATTCGTATTAATTTACCTTGAATGTACCCACTTCTTTCCATCACAGCACCACCATAATTCAGGCTCTCATAATACACCGTGAATTTTGAAGAAATCTCCTAATTGGTCCCATGACTTCAGTATTATTCTCCCTCACACCATTCTCTGTACTGCTGCTGGTGTGATCTTTCTGAAATTTCAAGAGAACCCACTGCTTAGTCATCTTTAACTCTGCCCCTATGCTCGGTATACAGCTCTTTTTTTCTACTTGGTCTGTCTTCTCATCAGCACATATTACTCCAGCACACTAAACTAACAGAAGGCCCCAAATGCTATTTCTTCTAATTTTTCCTTCTCTTCAAACTTTGGTTTTGTTATTACATGCCTGGAGGCTTCCTCCCCACCACCAGTCCCCGGGGAGAGAGATGGAAATAAAGAAAGCCAGAACTGGAATTAGAAATGGGTGTGAATGAATGAACATTTTGATGTGCATAAAACAAGATCTAGAGGACACTGGCAAGAAATATTAAGAAGAGAAAAGATGAGAAAAAAAATAAAAAGAAAATGGAGCCCTTTGAATTTGGGTAAAAGTCAACAGAGTGGGGAGGCCACCCAGACAAACCCACCTCCAGGAAGAAACTTGACCAAGCTGGCTGCCACACACCACTCAACCAAATACTGCTGGGATAACGCCACCCAATGTGCATGTCACTGTACCAGTGGGAACTTGACTGACTTCTAACCTGGCTTGCCTTGGAGATCTGAATTAGACTATTCAGCCTTTTCTCTACTTACATCCCCACCCCACGCCATCTCCAGGCAGCTGGGAACACTATTACAAGGACATCATGGGCTCTTGTCCCCTGGGATGCTGTCCTCAGGCCCCAAATAAACGCTTCATTGTTCCAACTTCCCTTCTTTAAAAACATCCACTAAAACTACTGGTGAGAATCCATAAGGAACGGAGCTTTAGGGGAGAACTTAGGGAATGGTATTATTGCATGATATACTTTTTATTTTTCTATATTTGGAATTTTTATAGAGCATGTGTTTAACTTATCTCTAAATATTTTTAATTTCATTTTCGTATCATCACCTTCAAAGATACTGATTCTGTGAGGAAAGGTTCAGAATTCTGATCTTACAAAGGTCTGCACAGACTCTATTAATGAGTCAGTTTTGAGGACTGTGGTTGAAATGATTGGTTCCAATATAATAATGTAATTGACATTTTAGTTTTTTAAGAAAAGCTCCAACTCTATTATACAACCCATTTTTATTGTTTCCTTTTATGTTGTAATAGCTTAATTCCACTACAAATACACATTCTCTAGGTATATTAGATCTGAATTATCTCTAAGAATTATTATAGCCCGGTAGCCATTTTAATAGTTAGCTACATTTTAATAAAGGGTCTAAGAAGTAATCATTGTAAAGCATGTGTTTGTGCAGTAAATTTCACAAACCATTAAAACGTCAACAATTGCAAATGTCAGGATTTCTTCAATTCTAACTTTTTTAACACTAACATCAATATCATTTGATTAGGTTTCAAAACAATAGATATCCTTAAAATACAAAGTAGAAAGTTATTATAAATATCAACTTTGGTATATATACAGATATAACCTCTTTCACTAAAAAATTTTAAGTTTTTGACTTTGGAAAAATATGAAGATGTACAGGTATTATAATTAACTTTTGAAAATATCTATAGACATCTAAATTTCAGACATCAAAGCATCTATTTCTTTAAACTTATCAGTTATATTTTCAATACATTCTCCAGCTTTTAATTTTATCCCATCAATTACAAGATAGTCCTCTTCATAGTGGTTTCCAAATGGGCTGCCTACAGGAGCTTCAGGAGTGCATTTAGATAACTGTGAAAATAACCATGCGAAACATCAGAACTATATCAAACTTACTTGAAGACCAGTCTTACTTATTTTGAACAAAACATAGTCACTAACTCTTTAAACACAGCAATTATAAAGAGTTTTCTGTTAGGCTGTTGGTCAAATAATGATCCCTATATAAAGCATAATATATAATAACGTGTTTTTATAAAAGTAACTTATTATTGTGGTCCTATCTCTGTTTTCCTACTGTACCCATTCTTCATTTTAATTTATGCTTTGGAAAAATGTGATCATTTAATTCTGTGACTTTTCAATATTTATTCCCAAAATTAATTTTATAGAGAATATAATTTAAAACTGTATTAGTAATTTTCTATAATCATCTTCTTATAAATATCTGCTTTGCATATGAATAATAATAGCTTACTCCCGCTTAGTGGGGAAGGACACTGGTAAAAATAATGCAAGTTTCTAGTTTCATTAAAGATGGTGTTAATTTCACATGAACAAAAAGAATATACATGTAGTTTATACAAGTATTTTCACTCATCAAAAATGTACCTACCAATACAATTATTCCATGAATTATCTTATTTGCGTATGCATTATCTAGTCTGTGAATTATTCATTTTATAAAAATCTGAAATTAATTCTGTCCCATTGCTTGCAACATCAAGGTATGTCATTCAGTATTCATAGAGGTAAAGAAGAACAAAATTAAGATGGTGACTTTACCGAAAATAAAATCTCATAAAGTATTTCCATAACAAATATAAATAAACTCTCATTATTCATGTGTTTATGTTTTTTTTTTTTTAATGTTGCTACTCTTCTACACTAGTCTGAATGCTTGAGGGTAATCAACTGGAAACCGCCTATGTAACATAAATGATGACAACATCATCAAAACTACAATTTTGAAAATAGATCAAACAATATCTGCTCAGCAAATAAACACGCTCAGTACTTTAAAACTACCAGGTGAGGTTTTTAGTGTGTTTAGTTATATTAGAACACTTTCTCCTACAAACAAAACACATCTTCAGTTTTTAGTGGAGTTAACTTTAGAAGCATGTCAATTTTTCCTACTAACTAGAAAAAAGAAAAGGGGAAAAAAATTCCTGAGGCAATCATTTTTTTACTTTTAAACTAGAAATTACTCCAGCCTTGATAGTTGGTTTCACTGCTATTCTCTTCATTTTAAAACGAACAAGGCTCTAAATATCCTGAACCTGGTGTGAATGCCAGACTTATAAAGCTCAGTGTGCAGTGGCTTATGAACCAGTCAGCAGGAGGCACTCACCTGCCTGCCAGCAAGTTAAAATGGTTAATTTTTACAATTCGTAAATGCCTTTTGAAAGTGTAAAATATTACAAGAATCTGAAACAAAAGGCAAGCTCCTTCCTGGTGATGTATTAAAACTATGTATTTTACCTCAAGAAATAAAAATCAGAAGTAATTTTCTGTTCTATAATGTTACTAGTTATAATGGTAAAATAGAAGCCAATTCTGTGGCTGTAAAAGCTCCAGGACACCTCTATAAAAATCAACCTGGCTGTATTTTTGAAAAGACAAACTGCAACAACTGAAAAAACATTGCACAAAACCATATGGTGTTCAAACAAAACATGCAATTGCTAGAAAAGAATAACTGTATATTAACTATATGTATATAAGATATATGTCTATAGATCTTGTTCTACAAAAGACAAGATCTTTATTTATAAAACAGGTTTTTTAAAACAACAGGAGTTCTGGAAAAATTGCATTTACCAGGTCCATGCAAATTGAGGTACAAGCTGGTGTCAATGGTGCTGATTAAAAAAACTATCATGTTTTTCAACTCAGAGCTCTCAACTTTTTATTTTCTTCTAATACATTGAGATCCTTAACTGTAAATGTTGTGCATTTTCTTGATTTCCAACTCAATAAAAGTGGTGTTTAAGAATCATCTTTATATTCTTATTGAAGTTCTGAATGAAATCACACGATTGAGATTACATTCTAAAAGCAATCATGCACACTCTCTGACAAAGTGTGTAACAACTGTCTCATTTATAAATCCACCTTTTTCCTCATCTGAAAACAGACAGACTTGGCAATAAGTAGCTTCTCAAAGTAAGAATGCAGGAAAAGTTAAAGTAAGAATATCTTTGTATTTATTTTCTCCAGTGACTGCCATTGTCAATTCTCTTCTATAATAGTTAACCTCAGCTGTCAGTTACTACACAAAACAGTTCTGGTTTGTCTTATTTAGCCCTCAAAACAATCCTCTGAAGCAAGTGATAAGCAACTTTGCCAAGTTACACAAGTCCTCAGTGGCAGCAGCAAGATCGGGACACAGGCATTATATTCCAGCCAGTGCTCCAAACCTCCCTGCTCCCTTGACTCCAGGCTTATGATATAATCTAGGTGAATGAGTGCATGACTGGCTGGACCTTTAAGGATATATGACTGCTCGTTGCCATTTTTCTCTTGATCTATTTAGGGAACAGCTGTACCACCATGTGTGAGTATCTGCTTAAGACTTATTTGTCTCATACCTACCATTTTGTTGTTCCTACCAACTGGTTTTAATGACCTGGATTTTGAATTCCCATTTTGTTGTGACAGGAACTTTGTTGCTGCTTTGTGGCTGGAAATGTGATGAGGAACACAACAATCGTGGGGCAGGTTTGCAAGGCAAGACTGCTATTCGAGCAGAAGTTCTTGGGCATTTTTGAAAAGGCACAGGCTCATAATAGCCGATCAGGCGACTATGGTAGTACAAGGTCTGGAGGTCAGGACTGGAATGGGGGACAAAGTTTTACAAGGAACAGAGAAGGGGACATTGTGACCATATGCCAAGTGACATTCGCTTCAATAAAGTGTGTGTATTGATGTTGTCACAGGCAGAGTTATCCTGATGCCATCAAGGAGTTAGTCATATAATCAGGGTCAATGGTGGCCTAGGTCCCCTGGGGCCTGCCTCATGATATGGGCTATTGTCTGTAGGTAGTCAAGGAATGCTCTGCTGTGATTTGTGGATAACAAATAGGTCACAGTTGCCCATGAGTGACCAGCTCATAGGATACCACACCATTTGATGTGCAGAGATGTGGAGCTGATGTGCTGAGTAATTTATCAGCCAAATCAAAATTGATGTTGTCATATGTAAGTACTGAATAAGGAAAGTATATATTTCCTCAACTCAGCAGTTAGTCAAAAGAAAAACAAAAGAACAAAACTTGATAAGAATGGTGAAACATACTCCAATGACAAATTCTACCTCCAATATGTTAATAATGAGGTTTGGTCCTACAGAATTTATTCCTGTGCATGAACCAGACAAAGCAGCTTTTCCCACAAACTGCTCTTAATCTGGCCCTTTCTCTCAGCTGTAAAGACAGTCAGCAGGAAAGAGGTCTACCTGCAGTGACATCCCAATAACCACAGTGAGCCTCCCTTGGTCTTTCTTCATTTCAACTTCAAGGATCTTAAAATACAAAACAAAACAAACAAACAAAAACCAAGAAACGCCTTTGCTCAAACACAGGTATATTTTCAAAAACTGATAAATGCATTCTAATTTCTAACAGGCTACTACTTTATTTATCTCATGATAATCAAGGCTAAAGTTTCAGAAGTGAAATAAGTTTTCCATATAATTAAAATGTATATTCAGGAACAATTTCTGTCATTTAAAGAACTTGAAGTTTCTATTTAGGCCTGATAATGACTATCAATACTACCTTTTCTTCCATGTTTATTTCCTCTTCACATTCCTCTTCAGACTCATCACGTGTTGTGGGCTCTAATGCTTGCTGTAGCATTTGTTCCAGCTCTTTAAGTAAAATTTCTGTCTCAGAGACAACTAAAGAGACATCATTAATACAGTGTAAAAATACTACATCTTAATTATTTTAATCTAATTCATAATGTGAACCACCTAGAAAGAAGACATCTTCTAAATGTTGTAAGATAAAAGCTAAATATTTTGGGAAAAAATTCATATAATTTTCAACACCCTCTGTTTGGTGCAAAATTATGGACTTCCATGTGGACCTTTTACAATTATTCCTTGAAAAATGTAGGAGACATTCCCTATATATTGACCATTCAAGTATGCCTGAAATATTAAAAACTGACTAGATATTTTTGTGAATTTTTAAAAAATCAGACTCCAAGGATATCAAATTATGTTCTTTACAGACCAGGGGTCAGAAAATCTTTTTTATAGAGGGCCAGAGAGTAAATATTTCAGACTTTGTGGCCCGGAAAGTCTCTGTCACCACTACTCAATTCTTCTGTTAGCAGGAAACCTTAGGCATATATATAAACAAATGAGAGCAGCTATGTTCCACTAAAACTTTATTTACAGTAACAGGCAGTGATTGGTATACTGTGAGTCAAAATTTGCCAATCCCAGCTATAAACTACTAAAACTATATGCTTAAGACTGGTAACTTTGTAAATAAGTGGCTAAATAGAGTCTATTCTTATAGACAGTCTATTCTTATACCAAATATCAACACATCTTAATTGCACAAAGGGATTTTTTAAAAATTATCACATACTTAGGAAGTCAGGGTACTGTTTGTGCTACTGTGACATAAATATCTAAGTATACAAAAAATCTGGTAATTCACAAGATTTGCTGAGATAGATAAAATAATCTCCCCCTGGGCCTCCCCGGTGGCGCAGCGGTTGAGCGCTGGGTTGCGAAGCTGCACGCAGCCTCTGCAGCGCCGGTTCGATCCCCGGCTGCTCCCCGGCCACGGGAGGAGGGTCCTACATGGCGCGCAGACCTCTCCTGCTGCCTGCTGCTCCCCTCAGCAGTGTACTTCGGTCCTTCTGCCTGCTCTGCTCCCCGCTCTGGCTCTGGTGAATTCTCTCACCCTCCCGCGCTTCTGACTGTACCCAGTGCTTGTATAAATAAAATAAATAAATAAATCTTAAAAAATAAAATAAAATAATCTCCCCTGCCAAAGAAATAAATGGCTATTATAACCCCATAGACTCAACTACTGACTAACAATATGCAACTGAGTTCCCAATTCTATAAAACAAATATTTTCATTTGCTATAGGTGCTTGATGAAGGAAAGATCAAGGAAAGGCCTGCTATCCTAATACAGACAGATGTAGCATTTGAAAAGTCCTTCCAAAGACAGCATGATTCAAAGAGAAAGGCCACAAATATATGCCCTACCATCTTCCATTCTGGTTTCAAAAATCTGGTATAGCACCTCCTATTACATGCCATTCATTGGCAGGTCACCAAAATCACACTAAGTAAAGCAATTGAAAGTTCACAGAATATGAAAAGAAAGTCAAGTAGGACATATTCTTTAGAGTTGAAATATTAATGAATATGGAAACTAGATACTTTTAGTAATAATACTAATTTTTTATTTAATTGTGGAACATACTTAAAATTGTTCTGACCAATAATGTTTAGCAAGAGTGAATATGCTGTGTACATCCACTAACATGAACATATCCAAGAACACTCACTTGTAAACTAAGTGTTAAAGGTAAAAACATTATTAATGCAAAAAAGTTTTATTCTCTGTTCCCTCCAGTTCAAAAGAATTAATATTCTTTTCTACATTCTTATTACCTTCTTTGTTGATAATTTTCTCTTACCTATTACTTAATAAAAGGAAATTAAAAAATTCTGTTATAAGGGGACATAGGTAGGGGTGGGTGACCCAATGGACTATAATGAGGATTACTGGTGTTTAAGTGGTGGATGTGATGTGAATATATACATTTGAACAGGTGTAAACCCACACCCCTAAAGCAATGTTATAAATCAACATTATCTCAAAAAATTTGATTAAAATTAATAAAACAAAAATTCTGCTAAACATTTATTAAATAATAGTGTTCTATAAAGTAATGGGAGGTTACAAGAAAGTTTTTCTTTGGTTATTGCTTCAGTACTAAATAACAACTTTGTTTATAAAAATGATTTTTCTGTCAATATTTACTTGTCCCAAGTATTTACATATACAATTAACAGACATTTATTGTGGGCCTACTATGGGCCAGGGATTGAAGAGAATAGACACAGACCAATGAGCCTTCTGGCCATCTCTCTAGTCAATCTTAGTTTCTCTCTATGAAAAACTTCTCTCAAAACAGTTTGCAATCTTTTTTTATGACATTCCCCACCTTAGAACCAGTTCTTATACTTAATAAACAAAAACTATAATTTTTGCAAAAACTGTAATTGGTGTATTAGTTGTATTCCACATACATCTGTGTTTTATGGTAATTGCTAAAGCCTCAGAACACAGAGTATGAACTCTTACATTCTAGAACAGTGGCATTCGAATTCTAGTGGGTATAGGAATCACTTGAAGAGTTTATTAAAACTATGCATGCAAGCCCATATCTAATGACTCAGGATTTTCTGGAGGAATGTATATTTTTCTTGAAGCAATTTTGTTAATGAAGTTAACCTCTGCTAGGACAGATTTCTCATTTAGTAGCCTATTACGTAACAGACAACTACTTGCAGTTTTCTTCACACTGATTCCCCAGTCTCACTCACAAATAGTGTGCTTTTCTACTTTACAATGAGTCTACAGAAATTGACATTGACATTTAAAGCACTGTTGAGAAGATGAATATGGAGCTATACTGCAAATGGAAAATGGCACACAAATACCTTTATATTTCTAAGACTAGGCTAAAATACAATCAGTTTTTGATAATGAATGTCATTGCCAAATGGCATTGTAGGTTCTCCATTTTCAAGTGATCTGAAAATATATATATACTGCTTTTTCATCAAAGGGCAGACAAAGTAATGGGTGAATTCATAAATCAACCAGGTTCATAACACCAACTTGCTTGGTGCCAAATTCTACTTCCAAAGCAATAGGAGGTTTGCTTTTCTAAATGGGTATTTCTATGTTGTAAACACATAGAGTTCAAAAATAATTCTCAAGAAAGAGCAGTTACTATAATCTACAAACTAGGTTATCAAAATTGGTCATTGATATCCTCCAAAGATAGAGACAGCATGAATGCCTTTGCTGATTGCATGACCAATCATCTTCTATCAATACTGATTATCCTGTAGTTTCCCTGACTTGTTTCAATTTGTTGTTGAGAGTAAAGTGGTAGCATTACAGCTGCTCTATCACTCAGAAAAAGTTGGGTTTTTTTTTTTTTTTGAAGGGGAGAAGAGGAGGATCACTCACACTGAAGTCCATATGTAGCTTTTAAAAATGAATTTTTATAAAAATAAATCAATGTTGTTTTTCCATTTCAGAGAATAACTATTTGTCTCAATAAATCCGCCATTATTTTTAAAGCTTTCAAAAGTATGTTTATGAAATTTTATTCAATCTTACTTCTTTATTAAATGTGTAGAGAAGTTGTTTCTCCCTTTATATAATCTACTGGATGGGTTAACTCAAAGCTGATGCTGAAAAAGTCATTTAAAATAAGTTTTTAAGCCATTTCATGTTGAAATTTCAAAGGCCTTCTAATAGAGAATGAGGAGAAAACACTTGGCATTCTGTTATATAGTAATCACAACCATTTCTCTGTGCTCACAATTTAAACTTAGAGATGGGGAAAATACAGATTGAAATACTTTAGAAGGGGAGTTCTATTCCTGGACAGAAAAAAAGAGGAAGAAGATGCATCTGAGGAGAGGAGCATGAGGCTAACTTCCCCTCCCCCCTCTAGTCTAGAGAGTAAAGGTAACTGCAAACCAAGGGTAGGTGGGCAAAGTTTCTCTTGAGTAGTGGGCTATCACCTTTCTCCCTGTCACCTTTCTACTTCGTGACCCTGGACTCAAGACCTTCATGCTTTTTCTAGGACTCAGCCATAACCGAGTTCTTGCCTACATTAGCCATCCTCCTCCAAGGTAACCTAACTCAGGTGACTGACGGACACATACTCTGCTAGTTTATTAATGAATGTTAATCCATGTGGTTGGTTATGGGTAATATGTCTTTTATTTATTCAAACTTTTATGTATTGTCCACTCTAAGAAATGAGGTATTTACCAACAGAAAATAGTAACAAAATAAAACTAATGAGAAAGACTCAGAGATTAAAGAAATCAAAATCAATTCATTAAGGGGGATTCAAAGGATAATAATTGCATTTTTAACAAGATTAGACCAACGAGCAGTGCTATACCAAAACCCCATAAATTTAGTTTTCAGCTTCCTGGTACTCAAAGGAACTAAGGAAATAAACAAACACTTTATTAATTTTTAAAAGCTATGTGACCTTAGACCTCTGAAGTGCCTCTATTTCCCACTGAAAAATGGGAGATATAATAATATCTCCCATATTTACCTCATAGGGCTCTTGTAAGATTAAAATAAAATCATATATGTGAAGTTTTTTGAACCATGAAGATAGTTATTGTTGTTACAGGTGTTTGTTATCATTATTATTGCTATTATTTTATCATCATAGATGTCCCTAAACACCAAAAAAAAAAATGAGTTACAGGTATAATAAATATAAATTATATTCCTGATTGCAATTTTTCCTCAAATGCAAACATATTTCAAAAAGTTATTTCTTAGATTAAATCTTTTTACAGTAATCAGCATACAATTTGAATTATTCAATGATTCCTCAGCTTTTCTATTAATTTGCAAAAACAGGTTCTTTCCTTTTTGGATTAGAAAGCTTCTACAGCCTCTCTTTATTTCAGATGAGTAATCTGTTACTGGGAGAGGTAAAGTAGCTGCACTTAATTAGCTCTCCTCCTGATCTCTAAGCAGCATATAAAGAGAGATAGAGAAAGAGAAAGAAACAATCATAAAATCCAAAAAGAAATGGTAGACAGTAAAGTTAGCATACTAATAGGAGACTTTATTTAGCACCTACAAGTAAGGAAAAAGGGTACAAAAATTATGGCAGAGATTCAAGAAGAAGATGCTATAATTTCCCTCTATAGTTAATCTAGAATTGATTCTACTTTAAGAAGAAACTAAATATGGGCTCCCTGGTGGTGCAGGGGTTAAAGTCTCAGGGCTAACAAGCTATCGCCAGCCACAGTGGCTTGAATTTGATCCCCTGGCCAGGGAACTGACCCACATGGCACAGCAGACCTCTCCTATCTTGCCCACTGCTCCCCTCAGCAGTGTATTTCAGTAGATCTGCCTATTCTGCTCCACATTCTGCCCTGGTGAATCCTCTCAACACCTACACCTCTGGCCTACACTCTAGTTCTTGTATGCATAAATAAATAAAAATAATAATTTTTTTAAAAAGTAGAAACTAAATATTTTAGAGTTGGATCAAGAAATCCAAAGAAATTTGGGTAGGACATAAAATATTAAGGACACTTAAACTATTACAAAAGAACCACTTTTTCAGAATGTTCCCGGTTCTTGCAAAGAACACAGTAGACTAGATTGGTTAAGTATTTTAACAATTGACTACTTAAGTGTTTCTAGAGCCATACAGGATGTGTGGCTTCATGGATAACTACTAAGATGTAGTCACTTATTTATACCTAAGAGTCATTTCCTGTGTTAGAATCCTTGCTGCAAAAGATTTCCTCTGTAGTAGTCTATGTGAGTTGAAAGAAACAATGATTCTAACACTGGAACCTTAAACTGCAGTGCTAGGGCTCCTAGTGGGAAGTCTGTGCAGGGATAAACTGACTTTTGCCTTTTCACAGGCATATTTGAAATGATTATGTGAGGCAAAGGGAAAAATAGCCAAGAAAAGGAAACTTAATTAGCAGAATGTGTTTAAAAAAGAGAAGCAACAGAATTTTACAGTGGTTTAGGAGAGGAGCAAATGGTTTTCTTTTTTCTAAATAACTACTCCATCCTTCCTCTGTCTGCTTTCCTTTCATGTATGACACTATAAATTAATGACTTATTACATCAATTGAAATGCAGTACCAGAGGATATGGAATGTCTACCCGGAAGTGGGAATATGGCGCAAATACTTCTTGGGATTTAATGGGCTTTAAAATCTCTTTGCATTGATGCCAAAGTTCCATCTTGCAAATAAACCTTTGCCTGCTTTTTAGGACAAATGATGATCTAGGAAGAGTACATTATCAGTACATTGCTTTTGAAAATGAAAACCTATTCCCTGCATCCCATATTCACCCTACTGTGTTCTAATACCAATGGCAATTAATTCAGTGGGAAGCCCAGGCTACTGTTCTTCTTTCTCTCTTTTGCACCCTAGGACCCAATAAATTTGAGTGGAGCAGTCTGAATTGAAATGTACTGATGCTTATATTTTCTCTCCACAATTGCTGGAGCTTTATCTAAAAAAAATTAAATATATTGTAAAGACAGAGAAAATTTAATTCAAGGAAATAGAAAGACAATTTTGAAAAACATTGATATATGAATCAATACCAAAAATTACCCACTATGCTTCTCATATATCTATATAAATATATATGTAAAACAGCATTTTCCCCCTATCAAATGATTACAACGATATTTGGTGAGATTAAATATAAGGGAAACAACTAAAAGCAGGCCTTCACATACCCATGTTTTCCTTTGATAAAGCATCATCTGAACAAATATTTTCAAAAGAGGATTTAAAATGGTTTTCCTAGAAAAAGAATGACAGATTAGTTTCAAAAGATCAATCACGTATATTTAAATGACCACTCATGTATATTCATCAGTAATTGCAGTGTAGGAATATATATTTCTTATCTTAGGGTACTTTTTATTGGTTGTTTCATAAAGTAAGTAGGACAGCATGGTATCATGAAAAAAACCAAAGGGGAATAAATTGATTTAAGTTTTTCACTGAGTGAAAAGCACTAACTATCTAACAAGTACCTTACGTGGACTTTTTCATATAATCCTTTCCCAAAAAACCTACTAAGTAATGGTTTATAAAGAAACTGAGGCTCTGATAAACTAGAAAATTTGACAACATAGATAAATGGTAGATCATGACAAAAGTAAACTTTAACAGACTGAAAAATCCATGCTTTTTCCGTTACACTCTTTCTTATTTAGTCAGAATACATGTTTTCAAATAAATTTTCTAACTATAAGATCTTGAAAAAGCCACTTAACTTCTCTAGGCCACATATTCTTCATCTTTTAATTGGAGATATTATGATACAACCCCTGCCAATTTGATGGAGTTACTGTGAAGTGTAACTGAGATAAGACAGTGAAAGTCCTTTTAAAAATTTAATTATTCATCTTTTGAAAAAGTACAAAGAAGAAGAGAAAGTCTGTGTATTAGGGTCAATCTTTGTCTTTGAATAGGAATCCTTTTAACCCAGCACAAATCACCATTGATTAAAAAAATAAAGTACATGGCAGGTTCAATGATAAACATTAAACTTATCATCAGTGGCTTATTAGTTTAGTATGAAGTCTGCTAGTTTGCATTACCTATTTTTAAACTAGAAACCTGCTTTTCATCTGTTTGATCACCTGATACTAATCTTTGATAGTTCTGGTTCAATAAATTTGTATAAACAGAAAACATTCTCCACAGTTCTAACACTACTACCTATACTTTACTAAATCCTTTTGGAAATTTTAAAATATAATGTTTCTTAGATGAGCAAATAAAAAAAGATTTGCTTTAATAATGAATATAATATATACACACATATATATTTAAATTTATCATAAAACTTTTTAATTTAAAAATGCATACCTTTTCCTTTTTCTAAATTTGGGGTTTCTCTTTTCAGTATTATTTTTAGAAACTTGCATCTGTAAAATCACAACAAAAATAAAGATATTAGTTCACAAGGGACTATATAATAATGGGTGCTATGTAGGCTGAGAAATTTAGCCCAGAAGAGAACTCTGGCCTCTAACCTAAGCAATACCTGTAACTCTAAGTCACCCACTTCATAGTAACTGCAACTGCAGTGATCTACACAAATTTAAATGGCAGACTGATCCAATACAAATCTTTTGTCTCCATGGCCCCTTCCTCACTTTCTCAACTACAAAAAAATACTAAGTGAAACAACTTCAAAGTTTTAACACATATATGACCTTTAAGAAAGGAAAAGAAATATTCAGAGGCCAGAAACGTGGAATGCAAGATATATCGTGGGAACTATAGTTGAATGAAGCCCACAAGGAATTTAATACCAGATAAGAATAAAAAGACCTTGGGTTTGTGGTTTTTAATGTCTGAGAAAAGACAAGATAAGTGATATAGAAAAACTGGAAACTTCATACATTGCTGGTGAATATG